GTACATTTATTTATTTACAACTAATAAATCTAACCATAATTACAGAACGCATTCTTTTAGGTACATTTATTTATTTACAACTAATAAATCTAAACCCACCCAAGGAAACCCCGTGTTTTTCCAAACACTCAATATACAAAAGTTTTGCTGTAGTTGAACAGCTGAGAAACTGGCGTCTGCAAGTCCAAATGCATGCAGTCTGTCATTAATGGGGTTGTAGGCTAGGCAGGAGGAAGGACATTGTCAAACATCGTTTTCAAAAAGCTACGTTTAGGCTGTCCACACAAGAACTAGAGTGGTTCCAGTGGAGTGACCCCGTCTAACTTAATGGGCATATAAACCTGGATGTCATCAGCAAAAAGGTGGAAAGAGATGCTATATTTTCTTAAACTGGACCCAGAGGCAACATGTAAAGGTGCAGTGGATGATTTTTTTTGTGATAAGACGATGGGAGGAATGTTGCTGCCGCTCTCTGGATCGTCGTCGAGCTGCAGAACCCAAATGTTCTTGAACTGAAGGTCAGGAAACGGCATCCGGACATTTGCCTTCAGGATTTTCAGGTAGAGAGCAAACTTCTTGGTTTCATCAACTCCAGGTCCTACAGTTGGGCTCTTTCACAAGACGCCTCTAGTGGGGACTTGGAAGCCTTTGGGTCTTCTTGGTGTGATTTTTGAACAGACTGAGGCAGCGAGGGTGATCGAAGCCGACCCACCCCTCATGCTTCTTTGTGCCATGACGCGGGGTAGTAACAGAACAAAGACAGTGGACGTGTGGAAAAGTAAGCCAGCTTGTGAATGTGAAGATGTCATGATGGCCTGTGATCGTGTGGTCACTGGATTAAACGACTAACAGGAATATTACGGAGGAAAGATCAGTTGTGCTACACAGCCTCTTTGTATTTAGTTAACCCCCAAAAGGTTTGTTAAACTGAGTTAACTCATTATTTGAAAACCACACGAGGGAGAAGTCCTTCACACGTTTGTGCTTCACAATACTTGTTTTCACGACGCTCGTTTTATTCCTTAAAGCTCAAATCGGTGCAAGACGTAGCTTCATCACTGACTTTTGATCGTCCAGAGGCAGCTTAAAGACGACTGGTCTGAGAAAAAGGGTTTCGTTAAAAAGCCTTCTGGAACCCAGTTTGGGCAACTAGAAAGGACGGGCCCTAAAACTTACAGTACCCTGCTAGTCATGAAACCGTAATGACCTTCTGGAGGGAGGGGAGGGAGATTAATCTGTGTGAATGTTGCTTCATGAACCGAGCATCTCGTGTAGCTTAAAGCTTGGAACGTCACACACACCAGTTTTGAATTGGTCAAGCGCCCCAGACGACAAGTGAAATCTGTTTTTCTACAGAATTGAAGTCCAAGTTCTTTTTTTTTTTACTTTTTAGATTTGCCAGATCCAGGGTGAGACTAAACCAACATAGACCCATAATTACCTTCAGGTTTTATTCATTCAAATGTTCTGTTTGTGTATGTGTGTAGACTACACCTCTACTTCTTCGAGCTTCATCCCAAGCTATGAACCCACCAACCCCATTGGTCCAGTCATCGCCATCATTCTCCTAGTGTTTGTGATGGGCGGAGCCTGCTTTGTCTGCCAGCGTGTTGTGTGTCGGCGTTATAAGGGCCCCAATGGGACGTTTCCTCACGAATACATCAGTGGAACGCCCCACGTGCCCCTGAACTTCATCACCCCCAGCAGCTCTCAGCACGGTACCTACCAAGGTTGGCTCGGCACATCGCAGCAGAGGTCCTACGTCCAGAACAACGCGCTGCCGTTCTAACGATGTCTTAATGTGTGCAGGGATCTCTTGTGGGAAGTCCATAATGAGTTCAGTTAGCTTGATGGGCAGCAGCAGCAGTGGAGCTCCTCTCTATGACCGGAACCATGTGACTGGAGCTTCATCCAGCAGCTCTTCATCTACCAAAGGAGCCTTCTACCCTCAGGTTCACACGCACGCACGCACACACACATGCACACACACACACACATGCACACACACACACACTGTTGCTTCAGATAACACCCATTCTTCTTCTACTTGTAGATCCTGAACCCTCCTCCCTCCCCGGCTACAGATCGCTCGCTCTACAACGTGGAGATCTTTTATTCCTCCAACAGTCCATCCACCACGAGATCCTACAGGTCCAAGCTCTTTAAATCATTCATTGTGATGAATACAGTTACCGCTTGCCACCAAAGGTTACGTGCTGATAATGTTTTGCAAGTAATGTCCCGATACTGATATTGATACTGTCATCAATACTGATGCCAGTACTGTTATTAATATTGATACTGATACTGTGCCAGTGCTGATTCCAATACTTGTATCAATGCTGATACTTGTATCAATACTGATACTGGTATCAGTACTGGTATCTGTATTGGCACCAGTACTGATGACAGCCTCAAGTAATTGTACTTGTCTTCTTAAAACACCTCAGGTGCTACAGACCACTTCCACTTTTATTCTTGATGATGTCATTTCCTCTTCCACTTTTCAATGAAACAAACACAAAAACTGAAAAATATCCGTAGTTTGGAGATATTCTAAGGTAAACAGGTTATTTTTTATTAACATTTATTTAACCAGACGAATCCCATGAGATCACAGATCTCTTTCAATGGACCTGGACCTGAAGGCAGACTAACGTGCATGTTTTTGGTCTCCGAGGAAACCGGAGTACCCGGAGAAAACCCACGCAGCACGAGAAGAACTAAAGTTCTAACTCATCAATACTCTGTATCAGTACTTTTTTCAGACCAAGTACAAGTACTTTAGTTTGGGTACTTGCTGATACAAAGTACTATTAGGACACCCCTTTGCTTGTATCCAAGTGTCTGTCTGTACTGTTAGTAAAATATGTCCTGAACCACTGGACTGACAGCTCATCAGCTAAAGTTGTGTGGTAGTAGCTGACAGTGGTTTTACAGCTAAAG